AGAAAATTGTGAGCATTTTTCAGATACTGCATTTTAGCACAACGCTCCTATTTTACAATCTGATTTCTCCAGTAAGACACCATTTTACCCACTCACTCCTCAACCCCATTGCTATTTGACTTTTGTCTCTGTAATGCTATTGAAACTGTTACTAAAGGTCACCAATTATCTCCTTTATTGCCAAATAAAATGGTCTTTTCTCATCTGTCATCCTCCTAGATCTCTCTACAGTACCTGACTCCACTCAACACCTATCCGATCTTTTTCTGTCTCCATGACTGGCTTTTAGTCCAATAATAGTATTGTTCCCAAAGATTCTGTTTTAGAATTTATTTTTTTCTTTTCACTCTCTTCTTCCATAATCTCATTCATTTCCATAGCTTCACCTCCCGAAGCTATCTTTAGCCCCAATCTCTCTTAGCTCCAGGTCCACATTTCCTATCACCTATTGGACCTCTACAATTGAACATTATCATGATATCTCAAACTCCAACACCTATAGACCTGAGCTTACTACTCCTAAAAACCTACTCCTCCTGACTTTCCACTTTCTATTGACAGTACCACTATTGACCTTCACTCAAAACTTCAGGATTATTTTAGGAAGTGAGACAGGAGGAAAAGTCAATTAGTAGTTAAATTTCTGTTAATTCCACCTCCATAAACTCTTTTTTTCAATTCAGTTCAAAAAAACATTTATTAAGAAGACTACTATGTTCTAGGTGCTGGGGATAAAGACAAAAATTTTAAAAGTCCTACTTTCTACTGGTAGAAAACAGTATGTATATAAATAAGCAGACTGTGTGTGTATGTGTCCCAAATAAATGTTACACAGGGAGGCAGGGCTCGAATAACAAGGGGAAATCGGGAAAGGACTCTCAAAGAAGGTAGCACTTGAGCTGAGGCTTGAAGGGACGTAGAGTTTCCAAAGGGTGGAAGTAAGGAAGACAGGAACAACCTGATTGGCAAAGGCACAAAGATAGGAGCTGAAATATCACACAGGAACATCAAGTAAGCCAATTTTCCTGGGATGCGGCATGCGTGTGAAGCAACAATGCATAATCAGTCTGCAAAGATAAGCTTTGGGGGTTTAAAGCATTTTAAATGCCAAAAAAGAGGACCGTGCATTTTATCTTAGAGGCAATGGGAAACCAGTAAGTTTTCTAAGCAGGAGTGACATGGTTAGATCTATATTTTAGGAAGAGCAATTTGGCAGCTGAGTGGAGAATGGAAAGGGGAAAGAGGAAGCAGGTAGTCTGTTAGGAGGTTATTGCCAAACGGATGATGACCACCTGAATTAATATGGTTGTGGTGTGAAATCTGGAGAGACAGATGCAAGAAATGTTGTGGAGAAAGAAACTCGACAACATTTGGGAAACAACTGTATATGTGGGGTGAGCGAGACTTAGGAGTTACTCCATTTGCATATGCTGCTTTGCCTAGTTTCCACTCCAAGGAACAAGAAGCCTCTCCCAGGAGAGGCTCCACTTCTAATCTTATCACCCTGTTGCTAACTCAAAGCTTTGATTGACACCACCTCCCTCAGCCTCCTCTCCCTTCTAACAGGAGGGCTAGAAGGTGGAGTACCTCATTCCTCTCAATGATTTTCTTTATAGAGGGCAGAAACTGGACTCCCAACTCACTCCACTTTGCATCTGCTGCTCTGCCTGGTTTCAACTCCAGGGAACAAGATATCCTCTGGTGTCCTGTCCTTTTCCCCCACTTTCCTGCCTCCCTCAGTGTGCTGTCTCCTCCAGTTAGATCGAAAAGTCTTTGAAAGCAGGAACTTTCTTTTTATTCATTGTATTCCCAGCAGTTAGCACAGTGCCTGGCATATAGAAACTTAATAAATGTTTGCCAAATGGACAGAAAAATATGACATCAGAACTGTAGATCTGGGAGATTGGAAGAATGTGATGCTTTAAACAAAAACAGGGAGCTTAGAAATAGGGGTGGATTTAGGAGGAAAGATAATGCCTTTGTTTTGGGTAGTTGAGCTGGTGAAGCCTAAGGGACTATAAGGTGGAGATGTCTGGCAGGCAGAGAAAGATGAGAACTGGATATGAAGACGTGAGAGTCATCTGCATAGAGAAAGCAAATAAAATCACCAATAGTGTGCAGAGAGAGAAGAGGGCCCAGGATGGAGCCCTGGGTGTACATTCATGCATAAAGGGTGGGACATCAGACTAGCAGAAGAACCAGGAGAGAGTATTATCAAAGTCAGGGAAGAGAGAGCAGTTGCCAGTGTCAAACGCTGCAGAGCAGTAAAGAAGGATGAAGACCGAAAAAAGTCTGTTGGATTTGGCAATAAATATGGAAGCCAACAATTTCAGTCCAACGTGGAGTCTGAAAACAGATGGCAGGAGATGAGTAGTGATGAGAAGTGACTTGAGATGGACATGAGAATAAATTAGTGGAATTTGAAAATACATATATTAAGCTCTTACAATATACCAATATTACGCCATACTAAGCTCTGAGGATACAAATATAAAAGCAAAAACAGTTCCTGCCCTCAAAAGAGCTGACATTCTGAGGGGATATTTGATTCTGAAAGTTACCAAGATGCTAAGTGGGACCATAAGGGAGTAGAGTGATATGCCCCTTTCAGAAAAAAAAAAGCAATAATTCATTTGAAATTGGTTCATGATTCCTGAATCCCTTACATGAAATTCGGGGCAGAAGATGGTAAAGACAAGAAGTTAGGGTAAAGGGGAGGCTTTCTATATCCATGGATGCCATGCATTACAACTCTCCCACACTACTGCAATGTTTTCCTAATGTCTTCCAGTTTTTTCCCCCATGACTATTTTTCATACTGTTTATGCATGTGTGGCGGCTCTTTTCAGTTTGAAACTCTTTAAAGCCTCTATGAATTTCTTTCTGGTTCTCTTAGGCTATGTCCTGCGACTCTTTCTTAAAGACCAAGTCTAAGGGTACACAGTCCAAGCGTATGGATCAATCACCTTAAATGTACTGAAGGGAGAAAGGGGATTTGAAGGTCCAGGTGAATACATGTTACCAAAATTCTAACATCTTAAAGGAGACAGGAGGGATTCAGGATGTCTTTATCATACCTAGGATAGGGGTATATCTATATCTAAATATATCTAGGACATTTGTCTACCTACATATTGTTATACTTAGGATAGTTACATATACAAGTGTAACCCCTCAAAAGATTAAAAGCTTCATGAAAGCAAGAAGCCTTTTATTGATCTATGTTATCTACCTAGTATAAGAAACTGAATTATAACATTTTGCCCTAGAAGTTTATTCCTTACTTAAATATTTGCTGGACAATGGAGGGAAGTCCACCATACATACTAAGACCAATGAGTGTGAGCTGATTTGCCATACTGTTACATCTCAAACCCACTTAACAAAAGTTCTTACTGGCTACATTCTTTACTAGGGAATTAAGCTGTGGTGAAAAGAACACATCCAGTGATCCATAGAAGTCAAAAGACCTGGGGTTATCTTGGTTTTGTCATTTACTATTTCCATGACCTTCAATATTGATTCACTCTCTAGGCCTCAACTTCCTCATTTGTAAAATGGTTTAGACATTTATGAAAAATTTCATGATTGTATTTTCAGTGATCTTTCTCTGAAGTGTGTAATGTATTTTAAAATTCACAATTCTATCAAATGAGGCTCTCTCAAAACAGTCCAAATAAGCAATAATTTATTGGCTATGAAAACAAAGGTGTGTAATAAACAGGTAGGCAAAAGTGCTAACCAACAACCAGCCTTGTATAAAAAGCACTGGAACTGGAGTCACTGGGCCTGCCCACAAATTCCTGAAGCAACTGGCTACTTGGTATCTTATAAAACACTGTGGAAGTTATTCACCCTCTTCAGTTTTCTCATCTGTAAGGATTAGATGATGTGAGGTTCCTTCTAGCTCTTAAATCCTCTGATCCTTTTGATATCCATTTTCGAGGGTTTTAACATTTGGGCCAGACCGAACCTTACAGCACTACAAAGGTGTACTTGGGGCTAAAACCTAGGAAATCTTGTCTCCAACCACATAAAGTCATTAAATCTTACACAACTGAAAAAAAACCCCCAGAGATCGGTAAATGCCTCACTTGCATTTTACCTCCAGAAAAACTGAGGCCCGGGGATCCTAATTAACTTGTTCAAGGTCACACAGGCAAGAACCCAGATCACCTGACTTCCAGTATAAGGTGGTATTTTTTCTCCTAATGTAATTTCAACTCATTGGGTTTGGATTCATTTTTCTAAGGTTTTTAAAAGATTTACTCTTGCTTTCGGGCTTTACACAAAGTGTTAATGCGTAACACTTTTTTGTTGGCCCCACTAACCCTATCTAGGGGGTACTCTGGTCCTGCTCCGTTGTTTTCCCAAGTCTTTCAATACCGTATTCCACTGGGGGGAAAGGTCACGGGCAGACAGCAGTGTATTCACGGAAACCCAGGCACGCGCAGACAGAGGCGGCGGCTCTGGAGCCACGAGGAAAAAACGAGAAGCTTTAAGCACGGAGAGGGAGGAAGGGGGTGTGGGGGCGTGTAATATGAGACACACCGAACTGGGAAATCCTCACTCAATTTGCCAACCCCTGGCACTGCAGGGTAGGGCAGGGCACAGCCGAGCACAGCCAAGCACGAACAGGTCTCATTAACAGGCAGGACGCACACACTGCAGCAAAGGGTGGGAGGAAGGGGAGGGGAGGGGAGAGTAAATGGGGGTGGGGGTGGAGGCCGCGAAGAAGGAGAGCGTAGCTGCCCGAGCGGCCGCCAGCACGTACAAGAAGCAAAACGGCCAGGGCGGCCCTTTTATAGGCTGAGCCCGAAGCCTTGCGCTCCCCCGCCCCTCGCACTGCCTCAGGGCCACGCGCAGGAACCCAGAACGTTACCTGGAGAGCTCGTGCTACATCCGTCCGTTCTCCTCCCGCTCACCCCGCCCCTCCCCTCCCGCGCGCCCTTCTCCTCCCCCCCCACCGGGCTTCCTCCCCTTTCTCTGGATTCTCTTACCTTCTGAAAACGGGCGGAGGCGCCGGGCGCCGTCTCCGCCTCCACTGCAGGATACGAAATGGCGGTCTGAGGAGAAAAAAAAACCGCGAAATGCCGCAGCCTTTGCCAATCCCGCGTAACCGCTAAAACCGACCCAAACGCGGCCGCCCTTCCCCCAACCTCAACCATTCCTGCCCCGCGAGTGACTGATAGGCGACCCCCTCCTCCGCCATCCATGACATCGGCGCTCCACCTCCCCTTCCCTCTCTCCTATCCCGCACCCAGGTGACGGTACCCACAGACCGAGTCATCGATTCCCCCGGGCCCCAGCTGGGGCTGGACCCGGCGCGTGCCCTTCCTCCCCCTCCCTAACAGCTCGATCGGGGGCGGGGGGAAAAACACGTTTTCTTTCTTTTCTGTCCCCCTCCTTCCCACCCTACCCTTTCCTTCCCCTTCCAATGACCCCCATTCCTCCTCTCCTTCTCCCTAACCACACCCCCCTCCGCCTCTCCCTCCCTCTTTTTACACACACACACCCTCCTCCCCCCAGTGGTTGCGTCCGTGACATCATCATCATGGCAACAAGAGCTGCAGCCTGGGACGGAGAAGCCTGTGTGATCCCCGGAGGCGGCGGCAGCAGCAGCAGTAGCAGCGGCAGCGACGAAAGCTTAAGGGCTTCTCTGGTCTTGCCCCCCGCGCGGCGCTCCTGAGGAGGCGGCAGCAGCAGCGCGAACCCCAAGCCCCGGGCCCTGCCGCCGCCGCCGCTCCTGCTCCTCCTCACTGTGTCTGCGAGGGGTGGGGAGACGGGAGAGGAGATAGGGGCCGGCAGGCAGGCGGGGAGGGGGCGCTGCTGCTGCTGCTGGAACTGCTGCTGCTGCTGCTCTGTGTGGCTACTAGAGGGAGAGGTGGTGGCGGCGGCAGCGGCGGCGAACATGTTTTCAATGCGGATAGTGACTGCCGATTACTACATGGCCAGCCCGCTGCAGGGGCTGGATATCTGCCAATCTCCCTTCACCCAGGCACCCGTCAAGAAGGTGCCGGTGGTGCGAGTCTTCGGAGCGACCCCCGCAGGTAAGCGCGACGGGGCAGACAGCGGCGACTGGGGTAGGGGGCACCCACCCAGAGGGATACACATGTACGTTCGCTGTAGCTACCGCCGCCGGTGCCTTCCTTCCCTCCCTCTTTCCCTTCTCTCCTGCATGACAGGGGTCTGTCTGTGCGTTTGCAGCGTGGCTGCGGGGAGGGGGCACCTCCACCCCCAGCTGGCGAGGAGAGGGAGGCGAGAGAAGCAGCCTCCCCGAGTGTTTACACTGCGCCTGGCTGCCGAGAGCTGGATGAGAGCCGCCGCGCTCCCTGCCGCCCCCTCCTCCTCCTTCTCCTTCCCGACTCCTACCTCTCCTCTTTCTCGACACCCCCCTCCCCCTTTAAATGAGAGAACCGCCTTGCCCGGCTAGGATGGTCTTTGTGGGGCCTTCGTGGACCTGTTCGGGGGAAGTCCCCCCCAGCCATCCCCAGTGTTGATCACCTGGTGGGAAGCACCACCATGTCTTGCTTCTTGTCGTCTACTGCCTCTGTCTGGAAATAGCTTTACAACAGGAGGAAGCGGTCATTTCTGTTGTCAAAATGTTACCACCATCACCACTGCCATAGTGCTCCGTATTCCTTTCCTTTAATCTCGGAGATTCAATGGGCAGTACATTGAGGGAGGTGCCCGGGGCCACATAGCTTTCTCATTGAAGTGACCATGTGGCTTTCCTGTGGGAGCTGTGTCTGATTCCTGAAGGGTTTGTTGCATTGACGCCTCAAGAGTCTGGGGACAAGACAGCTCCCCACAGGTGCAGTGCTTTGAGAGAGGCTTGCACCTTTGGAAGGAGGAAATATTTGTTTCTGAAGGAAAAACATACCATGTCATAGATTTAATTCGTTAGGAACCACAATTAAATACACATGTGTAAACGTAGAAAATGCCATGTGCTGGGTGGCAGGATTGCCTTTTAGACTACATCTTTAGAGAAAAAGAGCTGCTTTGAGGCTGTGTTGCAGCAGATGAGGAGGGAGGGGGAAATAGAGTGACCTTAGCTATGTTTTCAAAAGCTCCTGAGGTTCATGGTAATATGATTAGGATGTTGGCTAAACTTGCAAGGTGCTTTTTTAATTACTTTGCTTTTATTCTAACATATTTTGAATTGCCTACATGAAATAATAGTACTGCCCCCTTCCCTCCTCAGAAAGGGATGCCCTTACCTCTAGCTATGCATTTTGTCCCATGGGATTTTGAATTGTATTTCCCACTTGATGCTCCTTGCCCTTTTCACCATTCATCTTATTAGTAGATTCCAGTTCCTGTAGACTACCAAGATAATACCATTTCCCTAAAGACTAAATTTCTTCCTAGTCATTTATCTTTTAGTGCAGATTCTCTTTGTTAAAATTATCTGCGTTCATAGCAGCATTTCGCTACAGTAGTCAGTTGTTGACTTAGTGTTTTGTTTTTTTTAATAGAGATAAAGGGGGTGTTGATACCTTTTGAGATAGAGCATTTGAAAACTGTAGGGTTTTGTTACAAGAGTACTACTTGAAACTTTGAACATATGAGGGGTGGGCAGATAAAGTGCTGGAAAAGATAGGTTTTCTGTCCTTTTTAATCTAAGGGATGCTGTCTTTGTTCATAATTGGAATTTGTGTTATCTTGTTTGTTCTCTCCTCAGGTACAATGAACAGGAGAAATCCTGAAGTTGACATAGCTTTGTACAGTCAGAAGTCAAATGATAAAACAGATGCTAGGCCTCAGGTGTTATTTGTGCTTATTATAACTTTTACATTTTGTTACATTTTTTTCCCTGCAGCTCATTTTAATTGCCCCCTTCCTGTGTTATTGAACATTACTGAGTGAATTTTCATGTTCTGATAGGATGATTCATAAAGTAATTTTAATTTTGTATTTGTCCAAAAATGTATAGTCCAGAGTTTGTCCAAAAGTTGAATTAATAGAAAATTTCAGTGGATGAAAAAGTAAATTATTTTAATAATGAAACTATTATCTATAAAAATGTAGTAATTTATCCTACTTTTAAAGCATAATGAGAGAAATTTTTCCTTCAATAACTAACTTTATCTTCTATTGTGTAGCTTTTTCGCAGCTCCAGACACTCCCCTCCCCCAACTTTTTTTAAACAGGAAATTAATTTGTAAAATTTATTCATTGTTTGTAGACATGCACCCTTTTAATGAGATAAGTATTAGATTTGCAGATGACCTGGAGGTTCAGTGCTAGTGTTGCTACTTACTACTTGTATTACCTTCAGCAAGTCACGTCTTCTCTGGGACTCAGTTTCCTTAGCTGCAACATGAGAGGTGTGAACAAGATGACCAGTCAGTTCTCTTCCAGTTCTGGATCTATGAACATACTAGTGACAAAATTATCTTTAAAAATTGCCTTTTAAAAATGAATCTGGGGTGTAACAGTCTTTTGACCATGTAATAGATTAGTTATAATAAAACCTCAGTGTTGATGGCAGACTTACTGAAATATTTAGTTTATATAATTTTTATTCATGTGAATGATTAAAATTATAATTAATGATCAGCTTATATGATATGCCATATACAAGTATAACATTCAAGCATTAACTGCTGATGTGCTCTTAAACGCTTGATTTAGAAGGGTGGGACCTCCATTGACTTTTAGGATGAGTTCACAGGATCCTAGCTCTAGAGCTGGAAGGGACTTCAGAGGCCAACTGATTAGGAAATTGAGGTTCAGGTAGGATAAATGACTTATTTGCCCAGGGTCATACAGGAATAAGTATCAGAGACAAATCAGTTATTGAACGTTTTCAGAGGAATACATTGTCTTGATGTCTTTTCTTAATGAGGAGTGTTATTTCTGAATGAGCAGATTCTGAATAAATAAATTATGTCACATTATACTGTTGCGTGGAAATGATTTCTAAAATAAATCTAGTTTAGTTTACATTTGTTTGGCTCTGTTTAAATGTGCAGCATGGATAACTTTTTAAAAATTTAGTGTCCTGCATTAAAAAATAGACTCTTCTTATTACTAATAAAATTTGGGTAGTGTATAAAAGTGGTTTACTCAGTGAATCTATTGACTCCTAAAAAAATCATTTTTACGTTCTTGGTTTGAGTGAAAGTATTATTAAAGAGTCTCCTACTCTGGTTTGGTTTTTTTTAACATTGTTTTTTTCCCCTAAGAGCTTTATTTTGTTATCTCACCTGTTCGACATGCATAAAGTACTGCCAATTGCTTCCTTTCCTCCATTAGTGAGAGTAGTTATGGACAATGTTTACAAGTTGGAGCTAGTATTTTTGTATTTTTTTAGTATAGAAGTGTTTGCTCTGGGAATTTAAATAATAAAACGCATGGTGATAGAAAGAGACTTAAATTTGTAGTCTGAGGACTTGGGTTCTAGCCCACAAGCTAGATTGATATGAGCTTCACTTTCCTTATCATGTAAAATGAGGGAGTTGGATTAGGTAATTTCTCAGGTCCCTTCTACCTCCAAAGCTCTTTGAAAAAATATACAATTTTGAAGCCACATGGACTTGGAAAGCTGTCCATTTTCCATTTCCTGACCCTTTTCAGTCATTTGGCTTACTTCAGGCCATGTGAAAACTGACTTCTTAACACCAGGTTAAAAAGAACTATCCCCGTTGTGAAAGGGCTTTGAACTTGAGATGCAAATAAGAGCCAATAGAGGGTGTGAAGTTCACAAAGTAAGGATCTTAAGTACAGTGGATCAAATTGTAAACAGAGGAAGAAGCCCTTTCTTAGGGGAAGTATCTTTCTTCATTCTCTTAAAGTTTGTTGGTTGAAATGGAAAGATTATTGCACATGGAGTCCCATGACCTGGGTTCCAATCCCACCTCTGCTGCGACTTAGAATTCATATGACCTTTACCTCCCTGAGTTTCACTTTCCTCATCAGTAAATTGAAGGTGTTGGACTAGAAAAGGGATCTTTATAGATCCGTTTCCAGCTCTAGGGTCTTTGATCATTATAGTATAATAAAGTATTATTGATTCTATGAACAATGTAAACCAGATTTGATAGAGCTGATTTCATTTCAATTCAACAAACATTTTCAGACTGCCTATTTTGTCTAAGACCACGTTCTGGGGATACAAAGGTTCTGGGGATACAAAGACGAAAACAAAATTCATCTTCCCCTGAGGGAGTTTACGTTCTTACTTTCTGCTAGGGAATACAATGCATATACCATTAAATAAATGCAAAACAGAATAATTAATTTCTAGGGAAAGTATGCTAATGGGGGGGGTAAATAGGAGGGGAGTCCAGGTCAAATAAAAGTCTCCTATACAAGATGACTGACATTTAAGTCATGCTTTGAAGAAAACTAGTAGTTGTGTAAGATGGAGGTGCGGAAAGCATTACAGACTTGAGGAACCACTTAACGGCAGGGAGGTGAAAGATAACATATGTTTGGAAACAGCTAGAAGACTAATTTGACTACATTTGACAGTACATGAAAAAGACTATATGAAATAAAAATGGAAGGGTAGATAAATGGGAGCAAGATTTGGTGGGCTTTAAATGCCAGGCTGAAAATTTTGTATTTTATTCTATAAAAAAATAGGGAGTCATTGAAGATTTTCATCTTGAGGGAAGGGATGTGTGATAATGTGTTTATTTAGGTTTTGTGAATAGCAGTTTGGCAGGAATGTGAAAGATGGATTGAAGAGGGGAGAAAATGGAAGTAGGGAGACCTTTTAAACTGTTGTAGTGGTCTAGACCAGAACTAAAGAAGGCCTGTGTTAGAGTAGAAAGAAGTCACAGTACCATGCGATTGGGTCCATTACTAATTTACATGGTTGGAGAGAAAGGGACAAATGTGAGATGTGGTGAAGATAGAATTTATAAGACTTGACAATACATTTGATGTGGACCTTGAGAGAGAGGGAGAAGAGTAGAGGATATAATCCAAAGTTGCAGTCCCAGAGTTGTACTCAGTTGTTGATAATCAGGAGAATATATCTAAGTAGATAGTTGTCTATCTATGTAGATATATTCTTTTATTCATGTAAGCTAAT